GGGGAGCGTGCCGCGATCGATTTGCAGTGTCTGCCATGGGCACAGCAGGAGGAGGGGCGGGCTGGCGTGTCAAGTGTGTACCATCCCCAGTTGCAGAGCTGTGCGGAGTGGGAGCTGCCAGCACTTGCCAGGTGTCGTAAATGTGCTGGGCACCACATGGAACACTTTTCCTGTTCTATCTCATTGAAGCCTCAAAACAACCCTGGGAGATAAATGTTACTATTGCCCCTTCTGCACGAGTTCAGCTCCATGTGGGCCACAGTTTTCTTTTTGTTTTTAATCTGCATCATTTAATGCTGTGTCCGCAGCTCCTAAGAGAGGACCTGGTCCAAGGCAGGCACTCAGTGCTTCTGAGTAGATGAACTCCCATTTTGTAGATGAGGAAACTGAGTCTCACTACAGTAAGTAGCTGGTGCAAAGTCATGCAGCCAGCAGATCCCCAGAAGTCTCCATGATGACAGAAATGTGCTACGATCTGAGCCGTCCACACAGCAGCTACAGCCCTAACCCTGTCCCAGCCATCCCTGCCCACACCAGCTGACGAGCTTGAAACCCCAAGTCCCTGAGTGGCTTTGGATCAGCAGCTGAAGACACAGCACAGCGCCAGTGTCCCAGAGACAGGGCTGGCTGGGTGTGGGCAGTAACGGGCTCTGCCTGGGGGATTCCTACCTCAGAGACCTGAGGTCAGGGTGGCGCTGGCACACATGGTGTGCGGGTCACCCTCCCCTGCCTCTCCGGGCCCCTGTGGGCTGGCATCGACCCTGGCCACCTCCCAAAGTGTGATCTTAAGAAAATGGAAGCTGATGACCACGTCTATCCCAGCTGGCTCCCGGGAAGCGTCCACTTCTAGATGACAGAATCAAAGCTTTTCACCAAAGTACACCTGCTCGCTGGTGGAGAACCCGGCGTCACCCGCAGGAGCGGGCACTGCCCCGAGCGGTGGCCCGTGTGAATTCATTTAACTCTCAGAACAGGAACTGCCCCACTCAGAGGTGGGGAAACTGAGGCATAACAGAGCTAAGTAGCTGGTGAAGTTCATAAAACAGGAGGAGCCAGGACAGAGCTCTAATGCAGGCAGAGCCAGGAGAAAAGCACTGGAGAGGAGGAGGAGGAGGAGGAAGGGGGGGAGGGGGAGGGGGAGGAGGGGGAGGGGGAGGAGGAGGAGGAGGAGGCAGGTGCTGCATTTAACGTGCGGTGCTGTAGAAGGAACCCGGGACCATCACCCTGAGCCGCACCCTCAGCCTTGTGTTTTTTGCTTTGGTTTGATTTTGAGGCAAGGTCTCACCACCCTGCTAAGTAACTGCCAGGGCTGGGGTCAAACTTAGTGATCCTCCTGCCTCAGCCTCCTGGAACGCTGGGCCATGTGAGTCTGTGTGCCGCCACACCCTCCACCTCCAGCTTTCTTCTTCGCCCTGGGCTAAGGGACCGCCCAGACCACTTTGTGGACCTTGCCATGTGCTGGTGACCTCCCAAGGCCACTGCGGCTTCCTGCCCTGTGTCTAACAGCTACAGACTCCCAGCAATGTGCGGGCCGAGAGTCCCAGGGCTGCAGTCGGTGCCAGGCTGTGACAACTCCAGATTACTCAGCCTTCGGGAGGCAGGCTGGGCTGATGACCAGCCCTTGGCAGGCAGAGGAGGATGTTCGGAAAACCTCAGAGGAAACGGGCCAGCTGCCGGGGCGGTCAGCCCAGCCGGTCCGGGGTGGCGGAGAGACACTGCCCCCGAGCCCTGCAGCCCAGGGCTCCAGGCACAGCGGAGCCAGCTCCACAGCCACCAGCAAGCAGCGCTGGGTGTGGTTCACTGGGAACGGCTGGTGCCAGCGTCGGAGAGCCTGGGCTCCCTGTATCATGTCACACGCTTCCCAGCTGGGTGACTTCACGCAGAATCCCAGCCTGCCCCTCTGCAAAATGGGCATAATGAGAAAACCTCGCACACGTGAGGCAGGGCGCTGACACTGATCTACATCCCCAGCCAGTCTTTTGGTTTTTCCTGACATGGGATTGAATCCAAGGCCTCGCCCTAAGCCACGTCCCCAGCCCTTTTGTAACATTTTAGCTTGAGAGAGCCTAAGTCGCTGGGCTCAACCTTGAGATCTTCCTGCCTCAGCTTCCCGGAGTGTGGGGATGAGAAGTGTGCACCACCATATGTGGAAATAGCATGCACCTCGCTTGTGCGGGCTTTTGGTGACAGTGCACTTATCTCAGCGAGGGCGGGCTTCACAGGTCTGCTCAGAAAGACCCAAACCTAGCTTCTGAAGCTCAGAGAGGTCGTCCTGGAATTGGGCATAATTTCATCTTTGCAAGTTTGTCTCTCACGAAAAGCAGGAGGCAGGGCAGCAGGTGGGGCTGGGGCTTGGATTCTCAGCTCAAAACCAGGCTGCATCCCCAGGACACCGGGTCACTCGGCTCCCTCGGCCCCCTCACCCCTGCCTGGAGAACCCTGTCACCTGGTGGGGGCCTGGCATGGGTGCAGAGGGCGTGAGGCGGGGGCTGGGCATCTGCTGGCAGCAGCGACCTGAGACCTGTGCCCAAGGGAGCACAGCACGAAACCCTGAACAGTGAGCACATGGCAGGCGAGAGGGCGGTGCAGACGGAGAAGGCCTCTTCCTGCCTTCGGCACGAGCACAGCGGGCACAGTCTAACCCGCTCCAGGCCCCGCCTGATCTCAGAAGAAGGCCACTGTGGAACCACTGTTGGGGGCACCTGCTTCAGCCCGTCTCTTGGTGCCCCCCGAGGCAGCTGAATGAGAAAATGAAGGCTACGACTCCCTGCAGCGGCCGAGATGCACACACTGCAGCCCAAGCTGGAACCGTGGCAGGGTTGGCTTCACTCGGGGTGGGGCAGGCTGGCAAGGGTCCACGTGAGGTCCAGATAGAGCAGACACCTCACTATGGCTTTGAGAGGTGAATGTGTTTGCCCCATAGATGAGAGTTATTTATTTATTTTGGCAGCACGAATTGAACTCACGACCTGGTGCTCACCGGGAAGAAGAGAGTGATTTTACGCTAACTCATGTTAAGGCGAAGAGATGGTGGGGAGGGGCGCTCCTCCGCTGTGCCACCTCCCAGCCCTTCCTCACTCACTTTGAGACGCTTCTCATGGTGCTGCCCGGGGTGGCCTCAGACTCCCGGGCTCAGGGGACCATCCTGCTTCAGCCTCCTGCGTGGCTGGACGATAGGTACACACCAACACACCAAGGCTTCTATACTTTTGATTCTGAGCAAATATTTAATAAAAATGTATTGAAAGTTGCAGGCATGGTGACCCAACACTGGTATTCCCAGCACTCTGTAAGGCTGAGGCAGGAGGATCGAAAATTGGAGCCCAGCCAGAGCAACTTTTTTTTTTTTTTAATTTAAAGAGAAAAACAAAACAACACAAAACAGTAAAAGGGTACAAGTAATACAGAATTTCAAAAAAATAAGCAGTAAGAAATCACTAGTTAACAGATTACATATTGTCATCTTAGAAATAGTTGTTCAAGTTACAAAATTAAAGCATACAAAGTGGACATTCAAACAGTGAGACTGCAAACAGTTGTGTTCAATGATCCAACAAAAACTCAGTAATATGGTTTTCTATCTTACACACTTAAGTATACACGCAGTTATATCCTTTAGAGCACTTTCTTTTCCTCTTTTTTACAATGACAATTACATTTTGGGTTTTATTATTCCCACAGTTCTGATTACTTTTTTTTGAAGAGAATAAAACCAAATGTGACAAAACAAAATGGAGTCAGTCAAAACAAAAGATGGACACAGTAGATGATGTGAAAACAGAATACCAGGTGATGATCATCACTGGTTACCATCAGCCGGGGCGGGGAATTAGCACCGGGAGTCAGGACAGTGGGGTTCACCAACCCCGCTCCTGTGTCACAGCTGACCAAGAGTGACGGAGCTCTCCGTGTCCCCGACACCCCTCCCCACTGCACCCCCACCCTGCACAGGTGACAACTGTGCGTCCCCTGTGCAGGGCTCTGTGGGACCTTCTGGGGGCAGCTGGGCCGCACTGAGGTGGCCATGAGGGACAGGAGTTTCTGCACTTGCCCCCAACATCCTGACTCCCTGGGGCGCACCCAAGGGGGCTGCGGCTATCTGAGCCGTCTGCACCCCTGAATCCTCTCTGGACCCCACAAGAAGCCGGAGAAGTGAGCAGTAAGGTTTTTGTTTGGTTTTGTTTTTGTAACAGCATTGAGACATAATTCTCACACTGCAAGATTAACCTTTTCAAAGGGTTTTTAGGACAGTGTATCCCGAGTTAGGCAATCATCCCTCCCCTCCAATCCCACCAGGTCGGTGGAGCTCCCACTTCCCCACCCCCCAGGCGGGCGGCCAGCAGTCCTCCTCCTGCTCCAGGGTCCTCCCTGTCACCGAGCCGGCCTTCAGGTTCATCGAGGCTGCGGAAGAGACAAGGTTCTTGACTGACAGGTGATGATCACGTTCATTCATTCCACAAATCGGCCCCTACCTTGGCCTTTGGGGGGCTAGTCAGGACTAAGGGGAAGGACACCCCGGCCTAGAGGACTTCCGAAGAGGAGGCAAAAAAATCCTTCAAAAACCTACAAACATTGTTATGTAAACTCTTCCTGGACACGGGGGCGGAACCTCTGGGTTCAGTCCTCAGCACCACAAACAACCGAGCGTGGTGATCTAAAGGGGGAGAGGAAGCCGAGTAGGGGCAGAGAGGGCAGATGTGGCCGCCAGCCTCGCGGTCAGGAGAGGCCGCCCACAGGCGCTGGGCAGGGGCCGAGGGGCGTGGCTTGGGCTCCCGGCCGTCCCTCGGGAGCGTGACCCCGCCCCCGAGAAGTCCCGCCCCGCCCCTTCTGGCGCCAGTCCCACAGCCCCGCCCAGTTCCGCCCCGCGCAGGCCCCGCCCCGTCAGGCGCCCGCCGCCATTGGCCGAGCGCCGCCCCCGTCCCCGCCCCCGCACTTCCGGGCGGAGCCATGGCGGCGCCGCGGGCCGACCTCGGGGCTCCTGCGCACCCGCCCCGCCTTCCTGCCGTCCCGCCGCCCGCGCCATAGCGCCCACCGCAGGCGGCGACGCGCGCCGTGCCGGGACCGGGCGGGGGCCGCGGGGGGCGGTCACCGCGTCGCTTTGGGGGCCGGGAGGGCCTCAGGTGAGCCGCGTCCCTGCGGGCGCCCCACCCCCGCCCACAGGTGGGCCGCGCCGCGCGCCCCGCGCTCCGTCCTCCCCGGCCGCCCTGGTGGGCATCCCGAGCCCCAGAGCCCCAGCCGCGAGGCCTGGGCCGGTGAGTGCAGGTCCTGGGCGCGGGGTGCTTCCTGCTCCGGCGCCGAGCACGCCCCCCCTCGGTGCCCGCTTCCCCTGTCCGGACGTGGGCTCTGCTTACGGAGAACGTGTTACGCGGAACTGGTGGGCGGGGGTTTCCAGCCACCTGCTGCGGTAGCGCGGCGGGCAGCTGGCACCCAGCACCCAGGAAAGACGAGCCCCAGACCTCGGCTGAGTGCAGGGGGACCTGCCTCCAGCGCCCGGGAACTCTGGATATCTCCGCCTAGGAAGGATCGCAAAACCCGAGCTCTGGGGGTGGCAGGGGGGAGGGCACTGTTTTCTTTCGTGTGATCCTGAGCCAATTTCTCGGCCACCTGAGTGTGGGTGTCCCTCTGGGAAGGCTGGGGTCCCTGGGTCAGAGGCCAAGGTGAAAGGGGTGTCAGGTTGCGGTGGGCACTGCGGGTGTGCTGGCTTCCTGGCTGGGCCTCAAGAGGCCTGGGGTACTGAGGGAGACCCGAGGTGGGTGCAGGTGTCCTGATCCCACAGTGGTCAGTTTTTCTGGAGATTTATTTGACCCTTTCCTCGGGGGAGGGAGACAGGGCGAAAAGCCCCTGACTCTTTCCTCTGGAACCCCTCCTGTGTCCCCTTTATCACACCAGTGTCAACTTGTCACATTGTTCTTTATTAGCAGAGATTCAGAGGTAATGGGTTGGTTCTTAGCGACTCAGCAGGACACATTCCCCTGGAGCCCACAGGCACTGCCACTTGCGTGTACCTTGACCTCTTGGGGCCGGGCTGCCTGGCTCTGGTCTGGTTGGCAGTGCAGTGCTGGTGGAATCCTTCACCCCAGCGCACCAGCCTGTTCTGTGGTGGGACAGCGAATTCAGAGGGGTTCACAGCCCTCTAGTCACACCAAGCCTGTATTCAGAGATGGCCTTTTTCCCTCAGCCAGGCGGGCTAGTGTAGGGCAGTGATGACGAACCCACCACACAGAAGCTACAGAGGCTGTTTGTCTCGTTGGAGGCTCTCAGAGGTTCGCACCACTGGAGAGGTTAAGAGGTGCTGGAAGCCTCCTGGGTTGGGGCCCCAGCTGCCACTTGCTGGCTGCGTGAAACTGCACAGGGTAGTTCAGCCTCCTGCTGTCCCCCTCATCACTGTGACCCCAGGAAAACAGTGTGCTGGCCTGGGCCGGGCATTGTGGGGCTATGTGAGGGACGAGGCAAAGAGCCCTGGTTGGGACCTATGTCCGGAGCGCACTGTGTCATCGCTGTACCGTGCCTTGGCCTCTCGTGGGGCCCATGAAGAGTCCTCAGGTCAGGGCCTGACTTTCGAAGCTGGGTGGACCCAGCTTTGATCACCAGCTGTCTGCTAGCTTTGTGACCACAATTCGGTGTCATCCTTTGTAAGTGGGCTAGGTGACATCTCCTGCCTGAGTATTGGTGGAATTAAAAGAGGCTGCCCTGGAAGTCCTTCAGCTTCATTCCAGGGCCGCAGTCAGGGCCAGCGGTCACTTCTAACCTCCCTCTAGCCAGGAGACCTACTTGGGATGAATCCTTCAAAAGTGGGTACACTGTGACGTGGTCAGATTTTAGATGCTAAAGGAATGAGAGTAAAGTGTTGGCAACAGTGCTGACAACCTGATTTTCTCAACTTGCAGCGTTAAAAGAGTTCTTTCCAGTGCTCTCTCCTCTTGCGCTGTGCGAGTGGCTTTTCTCCGCCTGCGCCCTGCCTGCCAGCAGGACCCTGGGTACACACTCAGGACGACGCCCGTTCTGTTCCAGGGTGCAATCTTTTCTGCGATGGAGGGAAGCAGACAGACGCGAGTGTCCCGGCCCTACAAGATCAGCGAGTCATCAAAGGTCTGTGACGGTGCTTGCCCGCTTCCGGCGAGCTGCTCGCTGACTTTGGTTATTGGGGTTATTGATCTCCATGATGACTGGCAGGGGCAGAAGCAGGCAAGGAGCAGACAGCGCAGTAAAATCAGAGACAGCTCGAGACAAGGGGCCCTGTGACACCACGGCCGGCGTGTTCATCTCCCGCCGGGGCGTTGCAGAGCATCCTGTGTCACAGCTTGACTGACTGATCCTCTGTGTCAGTGGCAGGAGCTTGGCTGTGCAGGGTAAGAAGTCCCAGTCGGCCAGGCGAGGTGGCCCCTGCTTGTCATCCCAGCACTTGGGAGGCCGAGGTGAAAGGATCACAAGAGTTGGAGGCCAGCCCGCACTCTACCGTGAGACCTGTCACGCTCACTCTGCCTCCCTGTCACACACTCACACACGCCCACACGCGCGTGTGCACACACACACAGGCAGCCTGCCCTCAGCAGCCGCGGGGCCCACAGTGCTGCAGGAGACTGGGGGCCGCGTGGACACCTGTGAACAGCAATGGAGGAGGGAGGGAAGCGGCTCCGTTCAGTCCAGGAGTTTAACTTCTTAACTGAGAAAGCAATACAGAAATGAGAAGCGTCACTATTTAATGTTAATATTCGTTAATCCACGCTATTAATATTTTTAACTTGGTGATGGGTGCACAGATTTTCATAATTATCTGATATTTTTGAATAAAAAATTTTTATAAAACAAAAAAGCATCTCCCTGGCAATGTTGTGCTTTAGTACCGAGGGTTGCGCCCGGGGCCTCTGTGCTCTGCTCCACCCCAACCCCTTTTTTTTTTTTTTTTTTTTTGTCTTTTTTCCTTTTTATCGGTACCGGGGATCGGACTCACGACTGCCTGTTTGCAAGACAGGCGCTTATGCCGCTGAGCTAAATCCCCAACCCCTGCCCCAACCCTTTTTATTGTCTTTTTTGAGACAGGGTCTCACTGAGGCATTCATTTACCCAGGCTGGGCTCAAACATGGACTCCTCCCGCCTCAGCCTCCCAGAGTGCTGGGATGACAGGCACACTGGAGACTAAATTTTATGATTACTTTAGATCATGCGTTGCCAGGTCAGTATACTGTCCCAAAGAGGGCAAAGATTGGTTCCGGGTGCAAAAGGAATGTGACCCTTTCTGCCTAAAGCAGAGGTACCCAGCCAGCCTCGGCGGACGGCAGTGGGCAGTGGTTCTCTTAGGACAGTAACGGCTTCTTAGTGGGAAGTCGGGGAGAGGCTGTGCGGTGGAGAGGCGTTACTGCGGCGTGGGGATGCGGGCCTGCGGGTACAGAGAGGGGAAAAGCGGGCGTCGCTTGTGCGCGGGCAGCTTCCCTAGAAAGGGCTCTGCTGCCAGGCCCGCCCTGTCTGTGAAACCCGGCAGCTCTGCTCCTCAAAGGGCCTTTGTGTGCAGCGCTGGCCGGACAGTGTCGCTTTCTAAGTTTCATAGCTCTGGGGACCTCGGTCCTTTGCAGCCGGATTCTGAGTTGGTTCCTCTCTGGCCGGAGCTTTTAGGAATAGTGTTTCCGAGCCATTCACTGGGGGTGTTTCTGGCATTTTCTGAAAAAGTGAACCCTTGCATTTCCAGCACCTAGATGGGAACACATACAGAGGGCATGGTGGTGCCCCTGTCGTCCCAGCACGCAGGGAGGCTGACGCAGGAGGATTGCAAGTGCTAGCCATAGTGGGGTTCTGTGTCAGAATCAAAAAGGGCCGCGGTGGGGGTGGCACTCCATGGGGAGGTCTCGGGGTACAGTTGCCTGCACCAGAAGGAGAGGGCCACGGTGGACTCGGGGTGCTGCTGTCGCTGCCTCTCACCGCGCCCTCTCCGCAGGTGTACCGCTGTGCCGACCACCCCACCACGGTGCTGCAGCGGCTGAACGAGCAGCGGCTGCGCGGCCTCTTCTGTGACGTGGTGCTGGTGGCCGAGGAGCAGCGCCTGCCCGCGCACCGCAACCTGCTGGCCGTGTGCAGCGACTACTTCAACTCCATGTTCACGCTGGGCATGCGCGAGGCCTTCGAGAAGGAGGTGGTGCTGGTGGGCGCCTCGCCCATCGGGCTGAGGGCCGTGCTGGACTTCCTGTACGGCGGCGAGCTGGCGCTGGACGGCGGGAATATCGACCACGTGCTGGAGACGGCGCACCTGCTGCAGCTCTGGACGGCGGTGGACTTCTGCTGTGAGTACCTGGAGCAGGAGGTGAGCGAGGACAACTACCTCTACCTGCAGGAGCTGGCCTCCATCTACAGCCTGCGGCGGCTGGACGCCTTCGTGGACAGCTTCGTGCTGGGCCGCTTCGGCACGCTGTCCTTCACGCCGGCCTTCCTGCAGAGCGTGTCGGTGCAGAAGCTGTGCCTGTACCTGAGCAGCAGCCGGGTGCAGCGCGAGTGCGAGCACGACCTGCTGCAGGCGGCCCTGCAGTGGCTGACGCAGCAGCCCGAGCGCGAGGAGCACGCCCGCCGCGTGCTGGAGAACGTGCGCTTCCCGCTCATCCCCAAGAGCGACCTGCTGCACCGCGTCAAGCCGGCCGTGTGCGCGCTGCTGCCCCGCGAGGCCGGCTGCGAGGACTTCATCGAGGAGGCCGTGCGCTACCACAGCAGCCTGGCGGCGCAGCCCGTGCTGCAGACGGCGCGCACCGCGCTTCGGGCCGAGGGCGAGCGCCTGCTCTTCGTGGGCGGCGAGGTGTCCGAGCGCTGTCTGGAGCTCAGCGACGACACCTGCTACCTGGACACCGAGAGCCAGCAGTGGGTCAAGGAGACGCCCTTGCCGGCGCGGCGGAGCCACCACTGCGTGGCCGTGCTGGGCGGCTTCATCTTCATCGCGGGCGGCAGCTTCTCGCGGGACAACGGAGGGGACGCCGCCTCCAACCTGCTCTATAGGTATGACCCCCGCTGTAAACAGTGGATCAAGGTGAGACTGCAGCCGGTTCTCTCTCTACTCCCCAGGTCTCCGGGGTTCCCTCGCTCCCGCTCCGGGGCCTTGACAGCTGCTCCCGCGAGCGGGGCAAGAGGGCGAAGTGGCAGCACCTGGCCCCGCCGGGCTGGGCAGGCGCAGGGCGGGTCACGGTCCAGCGGCTCCTTCCCCACCCGTGAGCACGTCCCGTGCCTGGGCTCCAGCGTGGCAGCCTCCGTCCCTGGTGGCACCTGAGCCCTGGACGTGTGGCCAGTGCAGACAAAGAGCCAGGCTCTCAGTTTGATGTAATTTCAGCTACTTAGCGTTGTAAGTGTAAACACCCCTGAGGCTCCGGGCCACCAGCCTGTCCTTCCCAGATCACTCCCGGCCCATCGTGCCGTGGAGCTGTGCTTCCAGAACGGTGAAAGGAGGTGCCAGAGCCGGGTGTGGTGCTGCAGACCTGTGCTCCCAGTACTCAGAGGCTGAGGCAGGAGCTTTGCTGACAGATCAACCCCAACCTGGATTCCAGAGTGAGACCCTGTCTCAAAAAAGCCAAACCAAAAGCCGGATGTGGTGGTGCACGCTTGTAATCCCAGGACTTGGGAGGCTGAGACAGGAGCATGGCTGCAAACCCAAGGCCAGCCTGAACCAAACCAAAAAAACCCCACCAGGCTGCAGAGCCTGCTCTGGCCCTGGCCGTGGGGAGAGTGAGCCGAGACCAGATCGCACCCCACCACTGCTGGAGTGTGGCTGGCACCTTGCACCACGCCCACGCCTTCTTCAAGATGTTTCTGCCCCTGAGAACTGTGTGGCCTGGAGGCCGGGGCCTGTGCCCAGGGTGGCTGGCACCACATCAGGGTCCCTGTCTCCTGGGAACCCCTGTCCAGCCCATCCTCGAGGACAACTCTCCTGGCTTGTCTACTCCCAGCTCCTCACTGCTGCCCGCCCTCGGCTGGGCTCCTGTTGATCCTTCCCCTGTGTTCTGGAAGGTTCTCAGCCCAAGTCCAGTCTCGTGTGGAGGAGGCTCAGGCTCCAGAGTGGACCCTCAGCCTTGCGGGGTGTAGCCCAATGCGCGCTCCCCTGGGGAACCCGCGTGTGTGTGCTCTGCTGAGATGACCCAAAGTGCAGGAAAGCGCAGGTCTTGTGCCCTGAAGTGTGCTGCTGAGTGCCACTTCCCACTGTGAACGGGCCAGGCCTCCTGGTTAGCTTCAGGTGGCCCTGGGCTGGGCTGGCTCTGGGGGAGAGGGCCTGCCCTGTGCCTGAGCCCTGGGCTCTGTGTGAACCAGGTCAGGTAGAGGGGAAGAAGGCAGAGATGATTTTTGTTCTGTAATTTTAGGAAACTGCTAAGTTGACAGTTGTGAACCGCATGGTCTGCAGAACCTTGATCTGCAAGGTTGATCACGTGACCAAACAAGTTTGGGGAGCCATGGGTCCGCACCTCTCTCAAGGTGTGCCTGTGCTGAGCCACCTCAGGGCCTCTGCCAGGCCGCTCCAGAGATCCCCGGATTCCTCAGTCTAAGTCCTGTTCCCAACCTTGCTTGTCCATTGTCACGCCCTGTCCCCGTCCCGGGCCCAGCCTGCTGGGCACACTGGTGGAGGTCCTTGCCCAGGCCAGGACGGCTCCCTGGTTTGGGGGAAGGTACAGTGTCTCGCCTCTGCAGGTGGCCTCCATGAACCAGCGCCGTGTGGATTTCTACCTGGCCTCCATCGAAGACAAGCTGGTGGCCGTCGGCGGCCGGAACGAAAACGGGGCGCTGTCCTCTGTGGAGACCTACAGCCCCAAGAGCGACTCCTGGTCCTACGTGGCTGGCCTGCCGAGGTGCGTCGGGCTGCGGCCCACCTCGCCCGAGTGACGCCTGTCCACTCCCTTGGCCTGCTTTGGCCTCAGGTCTTGGGGTCCCCCTCATGGCTTCTCACACGAGGCAGTGGGTGGGCCGGAGCGGGGAGCCAGGCCCGGCTCAGCCACCAGGGCCACAGCCCCGCTCTGAGTCTGCCAGGCGCCCGCTATCGGAGAGCTGAGTGTTCCTTGTGATGTTAGGGGCTTCCTGGAAGCCCCTGAGTCTGGGCAGGGGTGAGAGGAGATGAGGCTGTTCCTGTCCTCGCCTGTGGGCGGGTGGGCAGCAGACGGCACGGTTCTCCCGGTCCCGCTGTGCCCGGTGTCTCATCCTTGAGAGTCAGGGCTGCATGGGACCTGAGTGGACCCGTGTTTAAAGTGACACATGGGCCGTGGGTCCCACCCAAGCCCCTAGGGGACAGGTCTGGCCGCCGGGGAGCAGTACCCCAAGCCTGGTGGGGAAGCCCTGTCCGCCCTGCTTGGCCCTGGTCCCTGTTGGCACGCTCTGTCTGTGTGATGCATCCCGGGCCACCCGGACGGGAGCCCCTCTAAGCCAGGGACTGAGGTGCCTGTGGCTGGGTGTGGGTCTCGGCCCTTCCCCAGGTCCCCACACTCCCGGGGCTCTGTCACCCCACATCCCAGACAGGAGTGGAGTGGACAGTGCAGCTCCCGCGTGGGGCCCTGTGTCGCCCAGAGCCCTGCCTGGCCACCTCTGCACCCCTGGGCTCACTGCGGGCACACTGCCCCCAGCCCCAGCCGGCCACATCCCTGCCTGCCCAGGGCTTCCCGACGTCGCTCCCTGGGCTTTTTGTACCTTAACCTTTAGTTTTGGTTGTTTTGTTTACCTTTTTATTTTTTGGTATTTGTTTGTTTGCTTTCGGTTGTTTTTTTTTTTGTTTTGCTTTGAGTTTTGGGTTTTGGTTTTTTGAGACCGGGTTTCCACCGTGCAGCCCAGACTGGTCTTGGACTCACAGTGATCCTCCTGCCTCTGCCTCCTGAGTGCGGGGTACAGCCTGCACCACCATGCCTGGCTCTGTTTGAGTTTTTGTAAAAGGCTTTGCTGTGTACTCTAGGCTGGCCTTGGACTCAAGGGGACCCTGCTGCTTCAGCCTCCCGAGCGCGGAGATTACAGGAACGTGCACCACCCCGGCCACCTTGTTCTGTCTTCCTTCTCAGTAAACTTTCGGGGTTTTTGTTTTGTTTTGTTCGTTTCTTTTTGTTCGTTTGTTTGTTCTTGGTCGTGGCTGGCGCTGTGCTGCTGAGCTACATCCCCAGCCCTCGGTGTCTTTGTGAGACAGGGCTTCCCTGTGCAGTTCAGGCCGGCCTTAACCCTCGGTGATCTTCCTGCCTCAGCCTCCTGCGTGCTGGGAGTCTGGGCATGCATCACACCTGGCCTCAACTTCCACTGAGAGGTGTTTTAGGTGTGCAGCAGATAGACGCTCAGGGGCTCTGCCCTCACCGCACGGTCAGGGACTGGTGCTGAGGAGCCCTGTGTGGCAGGTCCTCCCTTGTGCCACACAGTCCTGAGTGCTCCATCAGGGTCATACGGGACATCCATGCCCAGATGCCCAGCCAGCCCTGCTCTGCCCACCCCACCCCCGCCCCACTCGCTCTGTCCCTCCCAGAGCGTCTGCAGAGCTAGAATCGTACTTTGTTTCTGCCGAAAAGTCGGAAATGTGGTGCCATCGGTGTATGCTTGTGAGCAGCCCTTGGTCTCAAGGTTCCCAGCCACTCCGAGAAGGTCCCGGCCTGGTCCCTGTGGAGGTCGGGCATAGGCAGTGTGGCCGGGACGTGGCTAGGTGCCCTGGTGGCAGGCTGTGGGCACACCTGCCTGCTGTCTACATCTTGCCCATCGACAGCTGAATCTGTAAAGTGCCCACGCGAGCCGGGCGTGGTGGCGCACACCTGTAATCCATGCACTCAGGAGGCCGAGGCAGGAGGGTCGCCTTGAGTTCAATTCCAGCCTGGACAACACAGCAGGAACCTATCTCAGAAAAAGGAAGCAGACAAATGAAAACATAGTCGTGGGCCCCGCTCCTCGCCTTTCTTCCTTCAGTCCTGAGAGGCGCTGGGGGCAGGTGGCTTATTGTGCAGAGGACAGGCCCGAGGCCCCGGCTCGGGCTGGTCAGCCGGCTGGGCACTGAGTCCCTCCCTGTCCTCGGTCCCCACAGGTTCACCTATGGCCACGCGGGCACCATCTACCAAGACTTCGTGTACATCTCGGGGGGCCACGACTATCAGATCGGCCCTTACCGCAGGAACCTGCTGTGCTACGACCACCGCACGGACGTGTGGGAGGAGCGGCGGCCCATGACCACGGCGCGCGGCTGGCACAGCATGTGCAGCCTGGGCGACAGCATCTACTCCATCGGCGGCAGCGACGACCACGTGGAGTCCATGGAGCGCTTCGACGTGCTGGGCGTGGAGGCCTACAGCCCGCAGTGCAACCAGTGGACGCGCGTGGCGCCGCTGCTGCAGGCCAACAGCGAGTCGGGCGTGGCCGTGTGGCAGGGCCGCATCTACATCCTGGGCGGCTACAGCTGGGAGAGCACGGCTTTCTCCAGGGCTGTGCAGGTGTACGACCGCGAGGCCGACAAGTGGAGCCGCGGGCCCGACCTGCCCAAGGCCATCGCCGGCGTGTCGGCCTGTGTGTGCGCCCTCAGGCCGCAGCTGGAGGACAAGAAGCGGAAGGGGAAGGGCAGGCGGCCCCAGGACCGGGGCCAGTGAGCCGCGGCTGCCCCACCTACCATGGGGCGGCGTCCCCAGAGCAGAGCCGGCAGCCCTGCGCCCGTCCCAGCAGCTCCTGCCCCGGTGCCTCTGCTGCCTGTGACCCCACAGCCACGGGTCACGGAGGCTCGGCCTGCACAGGGTCCTGGGGACAGTCACGGGGCGCAGAGTAGGCACGGTGCCCCTGGGCCCTGCCTTTCTCCAGGACAGCCGCACCAGGCTTCCCCCAGCACAACTCGCACGGGGAACCCTGCGGGACGTCACATTCTTCCAGCTTTGGGAAGTGTAGGTGTTCTGGACCCGCCTCAGAATTGTCACACCAAAACCCTGGGGAAGGAGGCGGGCGGGCGTGGTGCCCGGCCTGTAATCCCAGCGCTGGGAGGCTGAGGCAGGAGGATGCCCAGGAGGGGAGCTGCAGCAAGTGCCCAGCAGCCGGAGTTCCATGGCGAGACCCCGCCTGGAGCCCCTGTGGGAGGTACCCAGGGCCACCGGGGAGGCCCAGGCCGTCTCCGCCAGGGCCACGTGCAGGAGTCATTGACAAGGCTGGGACTGAGGACAGGCCGCAAGGACTCCCCAGGGAGCCGCACCTGTCGCCCTGAGCACCCCGCCTTTCCTGGTTGGGGATCTCCCGAGTTCTAAGAGTGCGGGCACCCAGGAAAGGCAGGAAGGGACCGGAAGCTCGTGAACGTGGTTCTGCAGTGGTCTGTCTGCCCGCCCCTGCCGTGCTCGGCAGGGTACGGAGCTCCCAGATCTGCGCCTACTGCCCAGGAGCGGAGGGAGGGCGTGCATGGCCGCCCTTGGCTGCAGGGCCAGGCTGGCACCTGCGGGCGACCTGGCCCCGTGCCTGCAGCTGAGACGTTCTCAGCAAGCCTTCCTCTGTCCCCATTCCCCGAGCGACAGTCGGGGGAGGTGACCTTCAGCGTCAGCCGTGGACACTCGTCCAGCTCCACTGCAGATATGGGGCTCTGCTGCTTCCAGAGCGGACCTCACCACCCACTGCCCTCCGACAGCAGCGACTGCGGCGCCCCAGCAGGATGGCGGCAGCGGCCTGTCCTTTTCGGAGATCTGGTTGCAGGGGATGTGGAGATTGCGTGGTGGAGTCCGGAGGAGCAAAGCCATCTTCGTGCCCTGCCTCTCTCCCTGCCCAGCCCCCGGCCCGAGCTGCAGGCGCTGGGCTCTGCGGGCACCGAGGTTGGGTGTATTAGAGGCCCTGAGAGGACCGCGTGTACCGCGAGCCGAGGCCCAGCTTCCCAGACTCCGTGAGCCTGGCTCGCCCCGTCCCATCCCTGGCCCAGAGCCCCGGAGAGGCGGCTGGCAGAGCTGCGGCTGCCTGAAGGCCGGCGAGGGCACGACGTGGCCAAGTGTGACGTCTTCGCCTCAGACCGCAGCCGGCCTCAGCCTGGACATCGCACACACCGGTGGCCTGGGCCTCCGAGACACTGCATTTTAGCTGAAGCCAGCTCCCCCCATTTTTGCTGCTGGGGCTCACCCAGGACAGGGCTTGCCGGGACTACTCTGGCCTCACCCTCTTTCCGGGTGCCTCGCAGGACCCACGGGGCTCCCTGCAGCGTCGTCCCTTGTGGCCCCTCTCCCCTGGTGTCGGTGCAGTTTGCCATGTTGGCCTGGACCTAGTGGCGCTGGGGCTGAGCGCCCTTCCAGGGAGAGCACGGACATGGGAGTGGTGGCTCGGGTGCTAGTGACAGCTGGGAGCTTCCAGGCCTGGGGGGTTCCTGGATCAGCTCCTTCCTTGGCTTTGAGGCTGGAAATTCACTGTCCTGAGTGGGCCGGATGGGTGGAGGGCTGGGCAGGGCGATGGCATGGTGGGACGGTGGAAGCTGGTGAACCCGAGTGTGTGGCAGCAAACAACAGTCTGCCAAAATACCACGTCCGCCGTTAAACTGTCCATAATTCCGGCAGTCGGGAGGCTGAGGCAGGGGATCACTGCAGTGGGAGGGCTCCATAGTGGGTTCAAGACCAGCCCGAACTACACAGTGAGACCCTGTGTCACCCAGAAAAAACATCAGCCCTCTGTGCGCTGGGCTTTTTGGAGTTTTAACACCTGGATTGCTTTTCCTTGGTCTTTCAAAATCAGGATGGGTTTTGTTCAGGTTCTGACTTTCTGTTTTTGAAAGAGTTACAGCTCTATATTAGCTTTGGTCCTCATCTAAGTTGGAACCGGGGCGTAAGACAGGACAGAAAGCCGAGGAGCGCTCTTTACCGCGGGGGTCTTTGTGCTAAAATTAGTATCAGTCGGCTCAGTGTGGAGCACGTGCCCGTGATCCCAGGTACCTAGGCGGCTGAGGCAGGAAACTGTGCTTGAGCCCGGGAGCTAGGGGTCAGCCAGGGCAACATAGCAGGAGCCCTCCCCAAAAAGGAGCCTGGGCGTGCGGTGCTAATGTTCTGCTGTTTCCCTGAGGCGCCCAGCAGGCCAGTGAGACCTGGACTGGCCAGAGCACAGGGCTGTGTTTGTATTCCGATCCCCTCCGGCCTCCCCTGAACGGTTCAGTGACCCTGCAGGACTCTGCAGGACTCCAGAAGCTCGGAGTTTGGTGGGAAGGCAAAGCCAGGGGCGGGTGGCGCCCATCCTCTGAGACCAGGACCCTGGTGGGGTCGGGGGAGTCCTGGACACTGCCAGCTGTGGGGCAGTGGCTGGCACCTGGCCCCAGCCTAATTTTTTGCAGTTTACCTGGGGCAGCCACACAGGTGCCTGGACACCGGCCCTGGAACTGGCTGTTTTTAGAGGCTTTCGGAACTGTTTTGATACTTTTGATACAATTTGCTAACCCCCATTTTGTAGGCCTCCTGCCAGGCATCCCCCTCACCCTTAGCTGCACCCCTGGGACTGGCTGGGTGAGCAGTGTCCTTGGTCAGGCCCAGGACTGCTGCGTGGCTTTGACTTTGGTGACCTCACCGGTCTCCATTCTTGCGCTGGGGCATTGTCCTAGGCCGGACAGACCGGAGGACATGGGCCACCCCAAGCATCTGCATTTCCTCCTGTACCTGGCCTCATCGCTGCACGGCCTGGGGAACACCACAGGCTGGCCACCTGTCACCCATCTCTTGTGGGTCGTTCCTCCATCTGGCGTCAGGCGTTACGTGGGCGCACACACACCTGGCACCTGGGAGAGCCTGTCCCCCCTGGGCAGGCTGTGGTTTCTCACTTACGTGGATAGAACGGATGGACCCTGAGGGGCTACAGCTGTCAAGAAGCTGTCCTTTGCTTCCTTAGAAGAACTGAGCTGGGTGTGGTGGCACACGCCTGTCACCCCAGCACTCGGGCCTGAGGCAGGAGGATCCTTGTGAGTTTGAGACCAGCCTGGTCTACAAGGGAGCTCAAGGCCAGCCTGGACTGCATGGTGAGACCCTGTCTCAAAAAGACAAAACAAACAAATTGAATGTATGCATTTCGGTAGTGGATGGACAGGCCACGCCCCTCCCTGTCAGTTTTCTTTAAGGGAAGGAAGCAGCCTGCAGGGTGGCAGGAACAGGGCCCAGGATTCCCACAGGGCGCGGAGGGAAGGAGGGGAGGTCCTCTTTGCAAATTAGTTGCCAGGAGTTACTCAGTAGTTACATTCGGCTACTAATGTCACCCAGCCTGTAATTTGGGTTTATCATTTGTTGCTTTTTGTATTTGCAATTTTATGACATTCAAGGTTTCTGTTTTTCTCAGTTCTCTGCACAGTGCTTTTTTTTTTCTTTGTTTTTATTTCCATACAGAGTATTCAGTTCTTGCAAGCACATTAAAGCAGTTTGCCTGCTAGGGTTGGGTGTATTTTATAATCATGTTCCTAGTCTCCTGTCATGATCTCTCTCTTCTCGGCCTGTATGAAAATGAGCTCCTTACATGTGAAGTCCAGATTTCATTTTTAATCTGATTTCCTTTTAAGTGTTACGGGAAGCTAGGACATCTGTTTTTACTGTGCTCCTAATTACTGTGTGTAGCTGAGAATTTCATTCAGCTCTTTGATTGCAGGACTAAGTCCCCATGACCTGAAACGGAAAACATTCGCCTAGCCGTGTCAGCCGAGGTCGCTTGATTTCAACAGAAAGGAGCCGAAGGCAGCCGGAGTCTGACCTCACCGGGATTTGTTTCCTTGCTCGGGAGGCGCTGGCGTGGCTGTGTGGGGACCGGGACACCCCGTTCCCCTAGGCCTCTCCAGGCCTCTCGCAGACCCAGCACTCAGGCGGTCTGCCACGGCCCGCTGGCGGGGACGCTGGCTGGCTGCTGCTAAATTTCTCACTTGGGTCCATTTCTGCTTCTGAAGACCCTTAACCTAGGAGAGATGCAAAGCTGGGGGGCCCTACCGCCCCAAAATCTGACCGACTGAGCCGGCTGGCTGGTGGGCTTCGTCCTTGTGTCCCATTCTCAGGACAACACGGCCTGTGGGAAGGGCCTGGACTGGACACGGGGGTCCCTCCGAGGGAGTGCTGACCGGCGGGGAGGAAGGCCGGGCGGAGTGCTTGTCCTCTGCTGGGGAGCAGGTTGGCTGCCAGCTGACGCGGAGCTGGGCCCGGCTCCCCGCTCACGTCGCAGGGCGGGTGGGCCACACTGGCTCCCGGGAAGCCCGGGGTGGTCACAAAGGGCCGCCGGCGGCTCCTGCTGGACGGAGCGCGGGGTCCTGCAGCCCCTCCACGTGCAGTGCGACGGGAGGCCACTGCTGGGGTCAGCAGGCCGTCCCGCCGCCTCTAATCAACCCGGGGAGGCTGGCCAGACCCACACGAGGGGCAGGAAGGCCAGCCGGGGAAGCCCTGGGCCTCACTGCGGCGGGCAGCGGCCGCCGGGACGGAGGCGGGGCGGGCCAGTCCCGGCGCCTGGGGAGGCCCCGCCCACAGCCCCCATCTGGCCAATCGCGGTGCGCCTCTGCGGAGCCCGCCCCTGTTGCCGGGCGACGGCGCTGAGGCGCTGAGGGCTGGCCGCCGGGGGGCGAAGGCGGCGGAACGCCGGGTCCAGGCCGCGGGGGGAGCTTTTGTTTTTAGCTGCACGGGTGGAGGAGCAGAAGGCGTGGAGCGGAGAGTGGAGAAGTGGGCAGGTGGCGCGGGGCGGCAGGAGGCCATGGGTGACCCCACAGCCGCTTAATTATGTCTCTGCTTTCATGGGGGGCGGGCGGGGTCACCCGTGACACCGCTTGCTGTGGCCCTACCGCACGCCCGGCCGTCAGACCAGCCTGGGTCCGGGGCACCCGCCGCGGGGTCAAAGGTGTGTGCCTGTCTTGGCCCCTGGGGAAGGGGTGGAGGGCACCTTAGGAGGCTGGGGACACGGGTCTCCTCCTCTGCTTCACCCATGCCAGGCCCCGACCTGCCACCCCACGCGTGCAGCAGCAGCGCTGGCCACCCAGGGGCTGAAGCCTCAGCCAAAATAAACGTCTCCTTGAGGGGAGACGTTTGAGGGGAGGGGTGACTGGGGGGGTCAACCAGGACCTTGGCACTGAGCACACCCCAACCCCCTTTTTAATATGTTGAAGACAGGGCCATGTTAAACTGCCCAGAGTGGGGCCAAACTTGTGAGCCTCTTGCCTCAGCCTCCCAGAATGCTGGGATCACGGTTGTGCCACAGTGCCCGCTACAGGTACCTCTCTTTAAACTAGTTTAACTCAGGTGTCCGTCACAGTAAAGGAACGCTGACAACATGAAAGCTTCTGTGTTGTTTATCTTAACAGTTAACATACAAAAGCGCTGGGCTACAGTTTAGTGGCATAAGTGCCTGTCTGGCAAGCACAAGGTCTTGAATTCGATTTCCAGTATAGAAAACAGAAAACACGGCCCACACCTGTAATTCCAGCACTGGGGTGGCTGAGGCAGGAGGATCACTGCAAGCTGGAGGCCAGGCTGGGCTACACAGTGAGTTCACAAAGATTACACAAAGAAACCCCCCATCTCAAAAACCCAACAACAAAAAAATTCAAACAGTATTTCAACCCACCGAGTTATGGTTCAGACAGCCCTGCCCACGCAGGGCCCAGGGCGTCCTCAGGGGGCGCTGTGGAGCAGCTGGAACAGCGCCCCCCATTCTCTCGGGAGCCCGTTGGACATGGGTCTCTCCGGGATGGACCCAGGCAGCCGTCTGGGCTGGGGGAGAGGGGCCGAACGCGCTTTTGCGAGGCCTCCCGCTCTCCCCAGCCTGGGCCTCCCCGGCCGAAACCCTGCCCATCAATCACCTGTGCCAGGTTTGCTCTGGTGGAGTCCTGGACCCTGGGCCTTCCTCAGGCTGCTGCCCACAGCCAGGCTTCATGCCGGGGAAGGCAGGAAAGGCCGGCACCCCTCAGCTCAACCCACACTCCCTTTTCCCCGGGGGCGTCAGGAAGCCTGGGCCACAGAGTGCTGGAGAGGGGTGGCATCGTCCACCTCTGTGGCTCACTTTCTGTCCAGGGTCATTTTGCAGACTCGCCGCGATGGCGGCCTCTGGGATGCTAGGAATGCAGACTCCCACCACAGGCCTGGTGCAGGGCTAGGGTTAGGGTTAGGCCAGGCTGAAATTCAGAGCCTTGAGTTCCACCCGAGGCTCACGGCTCGTAGGCACTGGCCAAGGCCTGGTTCGAGTCTCCTACTTTGCACTGGGAGCTTGGTGACAGGGTGGCCCCGAGGTGCCGCATTTAGCCTCTTTGGCTCTGTTGAGGCCTCCTGTTCAGATGCTTCCACCCTAACATTTCAGCTCCTTTCACCCTGCCAGGAGCTGCCCGACAACTGGGGCTTCACGGGCCCTTGTCCTCTAGGCCACAGCTAAACAACGCTGTGGTCACAGAATTTCTGGGGCCCTCAGGAGGCAATGTCACCCTCGAGGACAGAGGGCACACAGTTGTGTAATGCAGCCAGTGAAAATCCTGAAAAAGACACCCATCTGGTAGGCCGGGGATTTAGCTCAGTGTGTAAGTGCTTGCCTGGCAAGCACAAGGTCGTGAGTTTGATCCCCAGTACCAAAAAAAAAAAAAAAAAAAAAAAAAAAGAACCATTTCGAACCTGGTGTGGGAGAGTAATGCCTGTAATCCTACCATTTGGGAGGCTGAGGCAGGAAGACTGCCATGAGTTTGAGGCTGGGCTCCAAAGGGAGTTCAAGACCAGCCCAGAACACAAAGCAAGACCCTGTCGTGAAACACAGAAACAAAACCCATGCCCAGCTCACTCAGCTGCAGCTGCGACCTCCTGCACTTCTACAATGCGCAGTAGTTTGTGGACACATAGTCTGGGGAAGCGGGATGCTCTGGTGACTCAGTGACTGTTCTGCTCCCACAGGGGAAGAGCCAAGGAGGGCGTTCCGGTTCTGGGCGTCACAGATCTAGAATTCTGCTCCGGGTAGTGCAGTGGCCATGGCACCTGCGGTGTGCCCTGCCCTTACCTAAGGCTTCCGGGCACGCGTTGCTGGGTGGATTTGGAGGAATGTGGGCTGCCATCTGTGATGCTGGCGGCCTCATCCGCTCAGCTGAGGCCTCTGAGAGCCAAGCACAGACTGGCAATCCTCCTGCTTCGGCCTCCCACAGTCCCAGGATTACAGGTGTGCACACCACACCCAGTTCTGAACCACTTACAATCAGTTTATCTCTATATGCAAAGCTACTCCTGCATCAGCTTTCCATTACTGTGGCAAAATACCTGGAAGAGACAGCTTCTGAGCAGAAAAGTTTGCTCTGGGGCTGGTGCCACAGCAGCGGCCTAGGAGCGGGCAACAGAGTAAGCCCGCGCCTGCGCGGCTGGGAGGCTAGAAGAAGGAGGGGCGGAGCTCCGTAACGACCCCGCCCCGTAGGCGGGGCTTCGGGCCAAGCGCCCAGCTGTGTACACCCGTGCCTTGGGGAGCGCTCGAGACCCAACCTAGGAGCTGGGCGCGGGGACGCAGGGCTGTGATCACCGCGAGTTTGAGACCAGCCTGAACTACACAGCGAGACCTTGTCTCTAAAACAAAATGTTACATGAAGAACTCCAGAAATAAAGAATTCATGGGTTAAATAACCTTTATTACAACTTTTATTCTATTGCTGAAACTCTTTCCATTTGCGATGAGTTTACTGTCCATTTCGGTGCAGATGTATCACTGAGACCCGTAAATTCCCGAGGCAGGGAAAGCAGAACAGGAGCTTGGTGCCTGGGGTCTGTCACGGGGGGCTGGGACGGGGACTCGCACACACAGCACGAGGCGCACGCTGGACCACAGGCAGGCAGGCCGGGCCTGGGCTGGGAGGGCCGGGAAAGCGCCGGCACAGCTGCTTCCCGTGCGCCCCTTGGCGACCCGGTCACTAGGGCACATTCCCGGGAGGAGGCCCGGCCCGGGGTCAGCAGGCCTCCGTGGGCAGCGTCCAGCACCAGCCAGCGGTGCAGGGATGGAGCCGTGCTGTGGTCCTCAGCTGCGGTGACCGCGCCCAGGAACCGCCTCGTGCCCGGAGCCCGCATCCACCTGCGTCTGCGCCCAAGTCCCGCCGGACACCAGCGTCCCTGAGCACCGAGGAGCCGCGTGCTGGGACGCTCTCCACGGCCATCCGGTAGGGCCAGGGAGGCTACAGAGCTGCGTCCGGGAAGAGACTCTGCCTAGCGAGGTCGATGGGAAAAGACCTGCAAATGCCAAGCAGAGGCCAGAACACAAACACCAGACACCCGGGGGTCACCACCTCACCTCACCTCTTACACGGGAACTCAGGGCCAGGCCTCGTCCCGGGTGTTTCCTGTGCATCACTGAATTACGCGGAAGGTTATTCCCAGGCACAGGGCATGGACCTATAATCCCAGTACTTGGGAGGCAGAGGCAGGATGCTGGGAGTTCAAGGCCAGCCTGGGCTA